CCCTCCCCCTCCCCCTCCCCCCTCCTCTTTCATTAATGCATTCTCATCCCCAGTATTATCATCATCGTCATCACCAAGCATCACTCCTTTCTCATTTCTCCCTCTCCCCCTATGTAACACCCGGCAAGGCTCAATGTGCACTCAAAAAACCAAGAGTTAGGGTTGCCACGAGAACGGAGCTATTTGAGCCCATTTTATGCTATTATTAGGCTTCAAAATGCCTAATTGAGAAAAAATAACAGTTTGCCCGTATCCACTAGGTCGGTTGTCATGGCTCTGAGATACGGTAATATTGAGGATCGCGTCTAATTATAATCAGAGACTGTGTTTCGTTCTTTCTGTTCACAATGAGGACAAGAAAATCGCAATTAATTTCTTAAAAAGTTGCAAATCACTCTTTTATTTCATTTTTTCCCTAAACGCATTAGTAATTTAATGCATTTTAAAAGTTACCTTGCATTGAAGTGGAAATTGTGAAGTTTCCATTCACTCTCAGTAGCTTGAATATTTTACCTTAGCTGCCAAATAAACGTCTAAGGTTTACTGATTTAAGTATCATAAGCATTTGACAGGAATAATTTAAATTTGTCTACCTTGTTTTTTTTTCAGAAAATTGTCTGTTTTGGAGTTCGGTTATGAGACGGCCTTATGCCTGAGCCAAGACACTCAGAACAGTCTGTACGAGCAGTTTTAGCCTATAAGCGACTGTTTATTCTCCCATAAAATTTGAGCATTCAAACGTAATTGTGCTCGCATTTTTTCACTATGCCAACGCTTAAAAGGATTTTTTTCTGAAAATTTTTCTATGAAAACTGGGAAATCTTATTTTTTGCGGTTTTAATTTACAAGACATCCTAAAAAATCTGAGCTTTTATTCACCACTCATTTAATTTTGCAAATCACAACAAAATAACCTGTTTGTCTCACTTTCCTATTCACTGGTTTGGTATTCTAGACAGTTGATCATTGTTAAATACTGTGGAATTTAGCGAAATTTTTGGCAGATTTTATGGTGGGTTAAAGCTGAAATCTTGCCTGATTGTGTTTAGTGTATGCATCTCCTCACTAGCCTATTTATGCATCAAGAGGAGAAGAATACGTCACCTCTTTTTATCCCCTCACGACTAGTGTTTCATGCGTCGAATTCTTAAATTGTGCATTAATTAGGCGATTCAACTACGCAATATTTGGACAAAACGATCAACTAACTATAAGAAATTGCCTTCTATTAACTACAACATCTTTCTATATTATAAGAGTTTAAGCTCAACTCGGGTAGAAGAGATGGTGAAGCACCCCCTATATTTTTATTGAATTTTGAGTTAATTGCCAAATTGCCAGAGTTCTCCAAAGACCACGTGTTCCAATATCAGAGGTCATTATCGCATCTGGCTTTAAATCTAAAGAAAATATTTATTTATAACATACAATTGTACTTTTTGTGCAACTTAATGTACTCACAAATAATAAAGGTAAGTGTTCACGAGAAATGCTGGGCTAAATTTTGGTCCGGCGGTTATTAGTAGAATTGATTTCTAGAGGGAATATTTTTGGTCAACCTAATAATGATAGCCACCCATATGAAATACATTAAATCAACTTGATTTGGAACCACTTTCAAACCCCATATAAAAGTGTAAAAAGATGCTTTCTCATCTCTTTTTCGTTATAGAAAGAAAAAAAATGGTTGAAATGTTGACTCAATGCACAGAGGTAATCTAGCAGAACTTCTTTACCAATTGGCACTCGTTAGAGAGATTTAGTTTCCCATGGGAGAAGCTGAAGTCAAAGTTTAAGGGCTAATGATGAATATCACAAAGCCTGCCATTTGAAAAAAAGTTTCTGTTTTAATGGACCTCAAATTTGAATTTGTTTAATGTTGAAAGTTGGGCATCTCAAAATACCCTATCAATAAAAGTTGCTCTCTTGAATGTTGCGAAACACTGCACAATAACCTGTAATAATTTCAAAGTCTAGTAATTTTAATTTTGACATTTAATTTTCTTTTGTTAAATAGACTACGCTGAGTACGTCTTCCTCGGGCTCTTCATGACAGAAATGCTACTTAAAATGTATGGTCTCGGTTTCCGACTCTACTTTCAATCGGCCTTTAACATTTTCGACTGTGTTGTGAGTTTTAATAAAAAAAGCTTTTACATTATTTAACATTCATTGACTACTTATGCTTTTCTCTGCCCTTTTATCTCTTGACGGCAATTTCTACCCTATAATTATTATTTTTGATTCCCATTTTAATTGTGCTTTTTGACCATTTCTGAAATAAATCACTGAGAATAATTTTAAATTTCCACTTTTCCAATTGGCGATGAGATATGCTCTCATACTCCCCCCCCCTTCCCCTCCTAAATGAGGGCGATTATCAAAAGTTCATAAGTAAAGATGTTGGGTACCTCTTAGATAAGAAATTATTGCCCCCTCCTAAGGCCATATTCACATAACGGCCGGTTCTGAGCCATCTAATGTGCCATTATTGGACTCCTATCAATCGAACTTCTGGCGTATTATAAATACTTCATTAACTTGTCATTAACTCTGATTAACAAGAGATTTCATCCTTGACAACAATGAAGCATTTTAAAAGTTTGAAGTTGGAATGGGCTTAAGGCAACCCTGGAAATCATTTTCTTCAAACCGCTCATCTGCATATGATTACCTTCAATTAGACTCGAGAGGCCATCTTCCATGACCATACTTACACAAAATGCTCTCCTTGCGTTCAGGAGGGAGGGAGGGGGTGTGTGAAGAGATAAATTTCAAATTTACTCTCAAACATTCTATGTTGGGAATGCCAACTACTTAATTGACGCAAAGATGCATCTCTAGACGTGCTTTTTTATGTTTCCATAGAGCAGAAGTTTTTTAATTCATGTGTATTTTTTTCCATTCTTACGCCTATTTATTTGATTTAACAAAACATTTATGTTCCTTTAAAGGTCATTACCGGCAGTCTGCTGGAGATTGTCATCGCCCTATTCTACCCTGACACCTCCTTCGGCATTTCCGTGTTGCGTGCCCTGCGTCTTCTGCGAATTTTCAAAGTAACAAGGTATGCACATTGTGCTTCATTTTGTCTACACTTGCCAGTTCACTTATATTGGGTTCTCGCCTTTTCATCATATTGCTCAATTTAAAGGCTAAAACACTTCAAAGATCTCCAGTCAACATATTTTAAGGCTCTCTCTCTCTCCAAGATAGTAATAATAATAATAATAAGAACACTTTCGGTTTCACAGGCACTACATTTAATCGCTTTGATACTTCAGCTTAATTTCAATCGAATTCTTGCATCACTCTTAAATATGGCATTCCTCAATTGAAGTAGCTCAAGTGGGATGGACATCTGGTCAAAATCAATACCTCCAATACTTTGATGCCATCTGATCGAAATCAAAACTGTGGATTTACCTCAGAAAAATCACCCAGTTAAGTTAGATTCACGCATAGACAAAGAGTCATTTCAAAAGAACAAATAATTACTTGTCTCCCCTAATCGTTACCTCTCGTCTGTTATTGTAGCCTAATTATCTCTTTTTAATCACTAACTTTAAAGATGTTTATTGTGCCAAGACATCGCCAATTTCCGACGTTCCGCGAAAATTAAAAGGTTTCAAGTTATTGCCTCAATAAGACTGCCATTCGTTAATAGTTGGTGAAAAGGTTCGAATTTCCTACCAATGCTGATAATATTTATATCAAATGGCAGGCGTTTTGATAGTTATCATTAGCCCTTTAGTTGACTTCAGGCTTCACAGAGAGGAAGGAACATCGAAGGGGAAAAGTCAAGAGGGGGGGGGGGAGAGAAGAGTGTTTCAAAAATGTAAAAGAGACAGACACAAAGATAGAAAAAAGGTGAGGTGATTACTGTGGAGGTAGTCAAATATGACATATAGTGGGGTGATGGTGGTTTGAAGTGAGAAGTCAGCTGCCGGTTAATAGACTTTTTTACCATATGAGAATACGTTGCCCAGGGTGCACCACGTGGAGGTAAGTCTATTGCGCACCCCACGCTGATAATATTAATTGCTTGAGTTGTTGACATCGAGCATACAAAATGAATGGTGTGTATCTGTATGTGGGAAGAGAGAGGAAAGTGTGGATTTTCACATTTTAGAGTAACAAGTAGTAGTAACAGTTTATTCTAAGTTAAATTGTTGAATAGAAGTCAGGAAACACCTATCACAGAGATATTTGATAATGCTGCTTGTGTAGAACCCTAACCTGACTCCTACAGTAGAGTAAATGTCTCAAGTTAACTCCTTGTTCATAAGAAAGTCATTCGCATTATTCATTGGAGAATTTTATACCACTTCTTAGATTTTGTAGTTGGTGTAGAACTTTTACGCGGTGAACGAATACACTTTATCACCGCAGCTTTTTAAGGAGTGGGTGATAGCATCCATCGCATTTTCAATTTCAATCATTATGGCAATTTATTTCCCCTCTGTAGGTACTGGGCAGATTTGAGGAACCTGGTTCTCTCTCTGTTGAGTTCCATGAGAAGTATCATCTCTCTGGTCTTTCTGCTCTTCCTCTTCATCCTCATCTTTGCCCTCCTTGGAATGCAGCTCTTCGGTGGCGAGTAAAAGGCCTTTCCCTTCTTTTAAATTCCAACTTTATCGATAAAATGTGTGTCTGTTAAGTAGGCTCTAAGGGGGTACATTCAAATGAATAGAATCGTTGAGCGTTTTTTTGGTTTCAATTCGTGCATAATGCCTTATAATTACATTTCTTTGCTAAATTTGAAATAACTAAAGGAAAATAGAATAAATAAAGAACAGATTTGTCCTTGTTTATTACTTTAACTGGCTATCGATTTCTATCGACATTTCTGCAATTGGTAGCACATAAAGCCCTTTTTATGCATTTTTTAAATAAATCGTTTTAACCACACTTCGATTTTATTTGCATCCGATTTCGGATATTTTAATTCAAAGGTTGAAAAAGAAGAAGAAAAAGAGAAGTGCTAAAGAGCCAAAACGCCTGGAAGTGGTTGGTTTTGGTAGGGTACATCAACTTAATCTAATCATTGTCATGGTTCACATTAATTATTGGCCGACTGTCTTTTCATATTTCTCTAATAATCACTCCAATCCATTTGGAAGTATATATTTTTACTATAATTAGTCTTCTTTGTCTATTGAGGGTTTTGTTGGTTCAACTACATTTAAACTAATATACCCAAGACAGCGAAAACGCGGATTAACTGATTTCAGATCTATTGTAATTATTGTTTTACAATTTCTCATCTTGACCACTTTTGTAGGTGGGGAGGGGGGGGGGAAGGGGGTGGGGTTAAAGAAGAAACGAGACATTTGTGTCAATAAAAAGATCTATCGGGAATTTCAATATGCCGTTCATTTCATTTCAAGCAAATTATTCTAAACTTTATACCTCTCTTCAGGTATTTTAAAATGTCAATTTCTACATCAAATGATGCACTAAGAGTTAATAGTGACGATCGAAATAAATTATTTTATATAAAAAAATGGTAACTCAATTAAAATCTAACGAGAGCAATGCTGAATTAGGTCTCCTTTCTTTCAGATAAATTGGCTGTCGTCCTTGTGTCGGTTAGTTCTAGTAAAAAGGATCCAATATTCTGCGTTTCAAAAGAAGATATAGACTTGAATGAGCTTAAAGCAACTTTAAGAACGCACGTTCATCCACAAGACGGAAAAATCAAACAACCAATTCATTATTAATGAGAAACTTGTGAAATTTGCTCAGGTGGAGGGAAATAAAATTCTTGGCTCCCAAAGAGGAAATCATTTGCGAAGCACTTTTAAT